TCACTTTGCAGGAATTGGTGTTGCCGCCGCCTGAGATATGATTTGGCGTAATCAAAGTTGCACGTGACCAGAGTGCGCCGACTAATTCAATTTGCCAAGCTAAACACACAGCACAACATCTCCGCCGCCGACGCAGCCACCGCAACCACTCTCTCTTGCGCCTTTGCCAGCCGCAATTTGTTATTTGTCCTCGTTTGCCTCTCGCAGTCGAGCGAATGCATTCAAGTCTGGATTTAGAAGGAAATTCAAAAAGCTAGATTTTGTTCTCTCGCTGTTTAAAATTTAGTGAGAAAAAAAATATATTTCTTTGAACAGCAGTAGCGATTCCTTTTGAGTTTTTTATACTAACGTGGCTTAATAATAGAAAATTAATATTAAAATATAACAAAATTACAATTTAATAAATTATTATACTCTTTTCATTTAAATATAAACTACCAAATTAAAAAAATTGCGAAACGTTTTTGGACTTAATGATTTACGTAAAATATTAGAAATTAACTGTGAGCAAAAAGAGGATTGCGTTTCAATAAAATCAAATAAAATTATTGCTAGAATATTAAAATTATTTCCAGTGAGCATAAAATTGAACGAAGATAACACTGAATTTATTTAGAAAATAAGGGAAATTATACGCAAATACTAGTTCTATATGAGTCTCTTTTATTATCTTCTTCAATTTTAAGTAAAAATTATTCTAAGAATTATGTTTAATGACTAACTTCAAAGTCAACTGAATCAAAGTTTCATCATTAATTGGAAATTTAAAGAATACCATATAAATGCTTCTAAAGCTAGCATCTTAACAATTTGAAATTATATCATATATCATAGTAAATAAATAAATAAGTTTATTTTTGTTATTTGTTTACTTTCTTCAAAAATTAATCATGTATAACTTCGACATCTTGATTTAGCAACTTGACAGGCCGTCGCTGTGCAAATTATTGGTTCAGTTTGTGGCCAAATGGCAGGTTTACCGAGTCAATCGCATTATTAGGCCTCGCGGGCAAATCGAGCGTGTGATTGGATCAGCACATCGACCGCCGAGCACCAACTACCGTAATAACGAGAGAGCTGCCGAATAAAAATGCACACCGTGTGCAATTCCATTCGTATAGTCTGTGTACTTTTCGCCGTGTATCTTTCCGCTCCTGAAATTGTGTAGCGCGGGTGGCAGTTAAGATTATCTCTGGCCGCAGGTACGAATGCAGTTTTCCGGCGAGTGCCTAATGGCGACAATAATGAAGTCTTATCTTGATCCTGGCACATTTCCCAAACACATTCGGACCGTAATGTTGCGGTTTTATTCTTTAGCCCATTTTCGGTGACCTTTTTATTTCGACCGACCGTGTTTCTGTTTTACATCCCGTTGCATATTTCGCTGGTGGATTTAATTTCCTCTTTCTAGGAAATTGCGACTTTTTTGGCAAGATCTTGCAAAAAAATTACTACCGGTGGGGAATTTAAAGATTTTTGCTAATGAGAAAAGATGCTAAACAAAAGAGTAAAAAAGATCTATTTGGTACTGGAGAAAATAAACGAGCGCAAAAAAATTCCTCGAGAGAGCAAAAATTTACATATTTTTTCTAAATTTCCTTAAAAATTATTTGAAAAAAAAAAAAAAAATTGGAGGACATTCATGAGGAAAATGATGAAATTCGCTAACAGCACAATAAAAATTCAGAGCGTATATATAAAAATTTTGCGTACGCAGTCTTTTACCTCCCTGGTGGGATTCAATAAATTTGGAGACGGCACACGTGCATTTGATGCAAATGTTGTTATTGTTGGCTGTCGGAATGGCCCTCAGGAGGAAACACACCCGGCGGCTCTTTTTTATTTATGCTGGCGCGTTATTCGCATCTCCCATATTATCCCATCCCCCTTGACGAATCATTTGCCATTTTTTACATTAATTTTAATGAGGACGAATCTGAAAAATGGATGGAGATATGGAGAATAAAAAGATTTAGAACAATATAAACTGACGGATTAAAGAATTTTTCACCATCTTCTTTTAACAAGCGGATCCATTTCCATTCCTTAAATAATTACAAGATCTTGGAGAAATAAACACTATGCTTTGAGTTTTCTGTTTCATCATCAGACTAAACAGCATCAAGAATATTTGATGGCTCCTGTTTCAAAAAAGCCGGTCGCTTTCTTTTTCTTGCGTCTCCTTTTTTTCCTTTTCTTCTCTGCTACTTTTGCTGGGCGCGTGTGATCTCTGCGTCTGCTCGCTATCAAGGCGAGGCCGCTAATCACATCTCACTCAGCGCCACATCAAGTAAGTCTGTGCGCTGGGCAAAAAGCGTCTCTAATTCTCTCTCCGCCTCCCTTTCTTTCAGCTCTAATGAAATTCATGCTTCCATTGCAAAACAGCCCAAGTGTGTGTTTTTGCGCTCATTAGATTAGACCCTGTTTTGTGTGCAGAAAGACGGGGGGAGCGGCTATAAATATGCATGTTGAACACATCCGGAAAATCTGTTCCTTGCGATGATTGAGAGTGGCGCTTTAGTTGTTGGGCCGGAATCAGCCGGTTCGATTAATCTTTTGGCCAAGCTGCAAGCTCGTGAATAATAAATAAACTGGGATCTAATTAACAACTTCCGCTGGCTAACGAGCCGTGAAATGGGTTAATCACGGAGAAAACAGATTTTTTTGCTAACTGATTATTCATTGTAACTCTAAACTCTCCTAATTTTGGCAATCTGAGTTAATAAAATCATTTAGTAAACAATTCATTCAAAGAGTTTAAAATAATTTAATTTTTAAAAACAGGGTTTTATTCTGTATTGAAAAATTTGTATTAAGACAATGAGTCACTGATTTGAAATTGTTTATGTTATCTCTAATATGTTTTTGGAATTGAAAATTTTTCATTCGTCATTTGTTAATTCATAAACCATAAAGCTACATTTTTATTTATACTTATTGTTAGAGATTAATCGCATAAATGGTAATAAATAGTATTAAATAAAATATTATAAAATATTTAAAGCATTAGAAATATTAATAAATATAAATAATTGTGAAGTTAGAAATTTTTTTGTTGCTTTATAATATATTATTATAACAATTTATATCAATAAATCAAGCGAAGTAAAATATTTTTGTAAAATTTTAAATTTTCCGAAAGAGAAGATTCAAAAGTTTTTGGCCCTTGTGATTTAGCAGGCCTGACGGCTACTGCTGGTGCCATTTTCGAGAGGGAATAAAGAATTTGAAACAAAACATCCTAGTAAATGCACAAACATTTCGCCCTAGTCACGAACTTTGTATTGAAATTAAGAACAAAGAACTAATAAGCTAGGTGTTGTCAACAACGCCATTGGCATGCTAATTCGTTTGCCACGAGCTGTTTATTTCAATTATTGCCGACTATTTAGTGGCGGGGCCTGTGAATTAATTAGCAATTCTGTTTGGCCGTATGTTTGGTTCGCGTGTCACGCTAATTAACCTGCAGCAGTGCGCTCTGCCGGCTCTCACTCACACAAACGCAAATACACGCGCTGCTGTTTTGCATCAAATGCTAATCGTGCGTGTAATTCCGGCCTAGTCGGATATGTCATCATCCGGTGGCGCTCAAACTCGCCTCTGCTTCCAACGTCGCCGCCGAGGACAAAAAGCGGCGCATGCATGCATATTCAAAGCCGCTCAAAACGCGACACACATTAAATGCATATTTAAAACCGGGCGTTTGAGTAATTTTGAATTCATCGCTCATTGCCGCGATCGCCCACGCTTCGTAATTTTTGTTTCACAAACACGCCAATCGACAAAGCAATTGCATATTCAAAACTCGTTTGACTGGGACTAATTTTGTACGGAATTCATCTCTGCCATTTGAAATTTTTGATTAATTTTGTGGTTCAAATTTTGAAATAGCAGAATTAATTAGCATTTACAAAAATTTGTTTCATAATTTTATATTATTGCGGATTATCAGCGTTTTGGAACGGAATCGGTTTGAAGGAAAAAAGGTCTTGATAATAATTTTAAATAGTTAAATTTTTTAAATACTACGTACATAAGATTTGAACTAAATGTTAACTGTTCGGAGGGCATAGACAGATACATTCAATTGTATAAAATATTGAAATATTCCCAAAATTAAGTCATAATCAAAAAATTAGATTGATTTATGTATTATTTGACAGAAATATGTTGTACAAATTAGCTGAATATGAAAGATAACTTGATGCTTTTACCCAGAACTGCTTTTCATGAAACGAAAGACTATAATATGAATAATTGTAATTAAGTTTTGATTCTTCTTGCTTAAATTGACGATAATATGCATTTTTAATCTTCATTATTTAGTTAAAGCTACTAAATTTATATTTTGAAAGTCGTAAATGAATTTTTCAGTTCAAAACTACGCTTTTAAGCAGTAAATTTTTATTATAAAATCTTTAATTCATATTCCCTATCAAAGAGTTAATACTTGTAAATATTAATGAAAATACATAAATTATCAATGTTTACTCAATTTGATGTAATTTTTTTAATATCTACTTGACATTAATTGATATTAAATTGAAACAATTAATTACGCAGCAAAAAATTGTCTCGCACCATTATAAACTGACAAAGGAAAAAAATTTGATGGTTTCAAAGACCACCTCAAAATTGACTATCTAATTTTAGAATAAAATGTCCCTAAGACTCCAGAAACAAATCTGAACGTCCCTTAAAAGTTCTGACAGAGCCGAACAAAAGCTTTCAAACAAGGCCTGAAAATAATGTTGAACTCCCTAGGGAGTTGAACGAATGCAGGAAAGAAGCCGTGGTGGTCTTTGCAGAGCTTCTTCCCGGCGCGCGAGGGCCGCAATTACCAACCGCACCGACAGAAGGGTGAGCGCCTGCAATGCACGAATAAGCAAATAACACAGACGGGCCGTGAGTAATACCTTGATGCGCGCACCTGTTATTCCAGAAGTGGAGGAGGAGAAGTGTTGGTTTGGAGCGCCGCCACGGCGCGCCAATCGATGTGCCGAGGGTTGACTCACCCCTGCTGGCTCCCTCAGTGTGCGTTCAGTGCTGGAGGTGTCCGGTCCGCCGCACGTTTGGAGCAACCCTCGTTTCGACCCCAGTCTCAGGTAAGGCACTCACGTGTGTGCGAGGGGGACAACCCTTTCCTTCCGCGCGCACCCCGCGGCGGAAGCGAGTGAAAGGGTTGACACATTCGGTGCATTATTCACAGGGATTGATTCGCGCTCGGGACTGCACCGGGGGTGCAGAACGGACTGAAAGTTTTAACGAGCCGCTTTAAGCGCCGAATTACCCTGCTCAGGAAAAAGGCACATTCCGTGCAGCGTGTGGTCCAAACTTTCTTCTTTTCTCCAAATTCGCTCCGAGAGACGTTTGCGATTTCTAAACTTTTTGCCGCTCAATTTTACCTCTGAGAGAGCGTCTCCGGTTCTCGCGTTGAAATGGAAGATTAATGAGCGGAGCTGCTTTTGGATACTTTTCAATATTGAGTCACTTCTTTCCGGTCCTCTTAACTCTTTCAGACTTGCTGCTTATTATACAAGTTTTGTATAAAATTACTTACATGTGGAAAACGAAATAAGTAAAAAGTTTTTATTTTTCATAAAATTTTTGAAAAACTTGTTTCTGATAATGGAATTTAATTTCAGCTTTGTACTTATATTAATTTTATTTCTGCTTATAAAGAACTTAAGTGTGCAATACAATTTAGTTTGCTGTCCTTAAAAATTTGATTTTGTTTTTGAAAACTTACCACTTTAAAAAAAAAGCCGTTTATTATATCAAATTCCTCCCCTAAATGTATTATTCCATAGTGCCAAAAGTGAGACTTTCATCTTTAAATTTAAACGGTTTCGCCAGTGTCTATTTAAAGACAATTTGGGAAGAAAATTGCAAAAAAAAAATCTAAAAATCTATATTTACATTAATATTTTAAGTTTAATTATTCCTTCTTTTTTACTCTTCAGTAAAAATATGCGAGGAAATATAAATCTATCTATATTTTGACACTTCATTATTTTTAAATCATTAATCGCGAGTAAATGTTTCTCTGCACAGCAAACACACTTATAAAAAAACTGTTGTTGCCCAAAACTTATATTTATATTTAAACTAATCAAATGAGTAATAATACGAATTCAGAAATTTATTTCATAAGAAATGCAACAATTATAAATATTTTTTTATATTTTATGTAAACTTGAATGTCTATGCTGAAGAAACATAACTGATTAACCTCAATTGAACAGTGATTGACGTCAGATTTTATGATTAATCTCATCAATGTGCCCAATACATAATCTCTGACTTCATTAATTTTGCATTAAGCGAAATCTGCACCGCTCGCTACAAAGCAGGTGAACCGGTAAACACAGCAAGCTGCGATATCGAAAATCCATTTCCCCGGTCTGGTGCCCCGTCTTGAAAGTTCATCAGCGCCGATTTCACCGAGCAAAAATAATAACGGCCGCCGAGTTGAAAAGCCACGCAGACAAAATAAATAAACGAGGACAAAAAAAATCACCAACGTCACTCCGACGTAAAAATAAAAACCAAAAGTCGACTCGCGCGAATATTCGTATATTTTTCCTCTTAATTATGCGAGAGCGAAAAGTTGGTGCTCGTCGCTTTTTGGCCCCGCGGCTCGTCTGCAACTCGGCAGTCTGAATTTGCAACTCAATGTCTGCATGCAGGCGAAAATATATAAATGTACATAGTGAGTGAGAGAGAGAACAGCAGTTTAATGAGACTGGTCGGCTAGTTTGTGGTGTTATTAATGTGTCCTGTGGGCATCTTGATCTCGAGTGAAATGCAATGAAGACGAGAGCGACCGGTGCAACTTGGAGCTTAATTAGCCTCGAGACTGACGACTCAAACGAGCAGGATTATGAGACCGAGTTGGCGGCTTTTGCCGGTCGTTTTCCCATCCTTCCTCCTCGGCACGTATGTACACAGACAGCTAGGTATGGTGAGACGGAGGAGTGCAGCCTCAGCCACCTGATTATCATTCGCCCACTCTCTGCAACTTCAAACAAACCTTGCCGTTCTCGCAATCAAAGCTTGTACATATATTCGGGAGAGAGAGAGAGAGTTCCCTGCTCTGCGCCGCGAAAGTCAAACGCACACACTTTAAATCCTCACCGCCTACAGGCAATAATGAAGTCGCCTCCGAGAATTATTATTAGATTACAAAGTGACTCAGTATAGTGCCTATCAAAGGACGAAGCCGAGGCGCCCGCTAATGAGTTCAATGACGAGAAATTCGATTTGAATTATGTATACCAAGCTTATCCGATTTTTGCAAATATATGAGACATTTATAAGATCCCTTTGAGGCTGATATTCTGATTTATTTTGATTAAGCAAACATATTTTTCTGTTGAATTAATGTTTATATTCAAACAAATCTGCTTGGTATGTTTTCATCGATAAAAATTTAAGATAAACTATATATTTTGAAGCTTTATTATAATCAAATATACCAAAATTTGGAATAATTTGTTATTAATGATTGTTCTTTATCCCTTTATTCAGTTTTGACAGTATTTTAGTTGAGTGATTTTTTTATGACAGAGAAACACAACATTGTCGGTCAAAAAACACCACCACGAATAATAATTTTGCTGTAAACAATATCAAAATGAAAAAAATCTTCCGGCGCACAAAAACCTGTTCTTCTTCTTGCGTTATACTGCGTTTTAAATAATATAATTATTTTGTTTCTTCATATCTGAAATAGAAATGTAGGTAAATGGGCTTTTCTTCTTTTAATTTGAAGGGAAAAATTAATTGGCAAGTTTATTTGATTAAAGTACGTGTTAAAAAACTTCTAGGGCTAGGTCCGAATATGAGAGAATTGATTCGCGAAGCGATTCTCGAGAAATGATTCTCGACTATGGTCAGCTTTGAAAAAAGCGGAAAAAAGTAATGTTAGGCGTGCATTTTGATTGAACAAATCACCTAAAGTGACAAATAATTGTTTAAAACGTTTAAAAATTATTATTTTATTCAAACTGCACGCCAAACTTTACTTTTTTCGAAGGTAACCGTCGTCGAGAATCGCTTCTCAAGAATCACTTCTCGAGAATCGCTTCGCGAATCAATTCTCTCCGGACCCACCCTAGGATATTCCAGATTGCGATCTGATTTTTCGTTTGATTTTTTTTTTTTAAATTATATATCTTTTTCCGTTACGGATTTCAAATTTTCAACAATTAAAAACGGCCCCTTATCCTTTCAAGACACGCCTTTTATTACTCGTTGTAAAAGATAATCCAAAGTGCGGAGACGGTAGTCATAACCGTTCGCGTCATAATTAATTCATAACGCACACCTGCAGCGCAAATTGACCCTTAAACCAGCAGCCCTCGGTATAAAAAACGACAATTAGTGCCGACCCTCGACTTGTTATTCACACAAGGAGAGAACAAGCAGTGCTCCTCGAGGCCAACGAGAGCGAAAGTAGAAACAAGCCTTGGCGACACAAATTATATCTCGAGATATAAACGTATTATGTTCCGTATCGCAGCCGGCGGGAAGTTTGCGCCGCGTCAAGGTCCGGATGAGCGGCTCTTCATTATGCCAGCCGCCGCAAAAAGTTGCAATGACAAGGCGTGTACAAAGTGGGTGCATCCGGCTCTCTTATTATTTATACAAGCGGTTCTGTGTGGTGATAAAACTACCCGCGAGTAAGATGAATTGCCGCACTACTTAAGGGGCCACCGCGCTGACGCCTCAGGCAGGAAAAAAAATCCCGTGTGTGTGTATTATATGCAGGCGCCGCCGTTTTTCGGCGGCGACACAAAACCGCATCTTGAATTTATAGAGTGATGCTGCTTCCTATCCGCCGGCAAAAGTTGCCGTCATCTCCTCGCTCTTGATAAATAAAAGCCCATGGGTTCTTTTTTACTATGAAAAAGTTTTTGTATCTTATGCACCGCAAACTTTTCCAAAACATTCAAGCAAAGTGCAGCAAAATTTATGTTGCCTGTTTTAAGGAAGGAGTGAGGAACTTTCCTTGCAAAAAATATATGAGATCTGAATAAACAAAATTGTTTATAAAGATTAAAGATTCGTGTAATTAATTTAAAAAATAAGGTCACGGAAATGTGACAAAATAAAAAAAATTCAGATTTTGCTCGTGTCTTAATACTTGGACACACATTTTTTTCTTTTCTTGCCTTAAATAGCTAAACAGCTTAATTATAGATTTTTAGTTTTGATTCTCGGTTCAAAGAATTAACAAAAATCAATTTGATTTTTTTAGAGTGATTGAAATTTACATACGCAGAGATCACTGATGAACCAAACTATCCATCCATTGTCAATATTTATTAAAAAAAATCTAATTATTATCTAAACCTTTAATAATTTAGACTTGCAGATGGGAGATCTTTGAATTTTAAATGGAAATCAAGCTCTCCACAACACTGAAATCACTGAATAGAGTAAATAATTTTGAAATATTGAAAAAAATAAAAAGTAAAATAAATTAATTAATTTTTGCTTAATTAAATAAATAAATAAGAGCTTTAATCCCGTTAAAAAATTTATAGCAATGAAAGCAAATGAGAGAATTAATTCAACCTAGCTCACAAGGGAAGTCGCATTTCAACATTTCTCAACGCTTTTTGCTTGAAATTCTCATTAGTATTTAAAATGAGAATCTTCCAATCTCGGTTTCATCATTATCCAAGCAAAGGACGAGTTCATTAAAAGAGTGGGCGTGCCCTTTTCAAAAGTGGCGCAAAGTTAATTAACAGACTCGAGCCTTGCAAGTACATGCTCTCTTTATATCGTGTTGATTGCGTGCAATTGTGATAAAGACACTGTTGATCTTGCCAATTAAAAATTCCGTCGGCCCCTGCGCGAGGAGCAAGAAGTCGTAAAAGGCCAAAGATGCTATCGGGCGAGTGAGCAGGTCCGTGTGCACTTTGCATGCCCATACGTAGGCGTGTAAGTAAAATGTGTGTGCTTAAAAGATGGCATCGTTTCTGCAAAAGACGGCGCCTCGATCGCATACCTACGGCTTTTGTGCTCACGGCAGGGCCTTAATTAAAAGTATTCCATTTTTTTTCTTTCATCTTCGCTCCGCCCGCAACAGCTTTTT